TTTAATAATTTCAGTATTCATGTATAGGGTTGCCAGAATTGAGCCGCGGGACATAGACGTACGCATTATTTATTAAAAAGCAACAAATTAAATTGCCTACAATACACCACCGTAAACACCAACGGATAGGAATTAATTACTTATGCAAATATTACATCAATAGATGTCGAACGGATATTTTATCAGCGTCGCGAATGTTTCGCTGAAATAAGGGTAGAAGCATACCTGATGATGCGATCTATAATGGATCTCATCCAGATTGTGGAACTGATGGCATAAAACAATTTACGTGTTTCACAATGATACAATGACATAAATCTTATAATCATTGTTTACTTTATTTTATGTTGACGATCCGCACGCATTTGGTACGCGGCGAATTATGACAACTCTATTCATGTATATGTTTTTGTATTATTATTAAAAATATCATTTTTAGGTGTTATTTTGGATATCATTAATCACTGGCTGTTCATTAGGTATTGTTGGTGTTATTCAATGCTAGTTGGGGCAGTTGTTTCCTGCAATATCAGCATTTAGGAATTTTTATGCGCACACCTACATTTTTGGTACCGAAAAACATGGCCATTCGTTAACATCGTGTAGAGAAAAATGTTTTGAATTTGTTTGAATTAGTTTAATGTCTTTAAAATGGAGGTAATAACTTGAATAAATTGTGTATAATATACCACATGCAGAATTTGATTCATTACCACGATTTTGACGTTTCGCGATACGGGACCGATCAGAAAAACAGAATTTTCACAAGCGTGGGAGGTTCTCTCCGCAGCATCGAAACAATATTGACGCAATAAGAACGTTGATAAATGTTGAGTCATTTTTATAATCTTTTAATCTCTGTCTCTGTCACAATTGACCTCTGACTAAAGAACTAAAATAGGAGTGATCCGACTGCTACTTTTGTAACTTTTAAACCGTTTTCTCAGCCATATCTAACTATTATTGTAAAGTGACCTATATTTAATAATATTTTCTTGGAAATCGTATTCGCCTTGGTATAAATAAATAAACCAGATTTAGACCGAAGCTGCGTATAATGTCACAGAAGAGTAGTTTTGTGTCTGCCAAACAATGACGATGGTTTCTGTACGCGTCTTGTTCAGCCCATGGGCGTCCCCGAAGGGCAAACATGTCGATGGCTGCTATCTCACATAAAAATTGTTTCATTAAAATTAAGAGAAATAATTAGGATCTTTAACACTTTAATAAAAAAATTAAAAATTTTCCAAATAAAAAACAGTTTCTTAATGGGAAAGTAGTATAAAGACAAAAAAAGTAACTCGAAAGAAGTGACCTTTTTTCATTTTTTTTACTGCCAATGAAAATCTAGACTACCAATTAAATTACCTACAATTTAAAGTATCTAAAGTAATTTTTCACTAATTTGTTAACTGTAAAATAAAGGACGAACGCAAAAAAATCAGTTTTCGAAAATTGCGCATTATTATTGCAAAAAGCCAGTTATTCCAGTTTATTAAAGACAAAAACGCGTGTGTATTTAAGCATTCTGTGTCAATTTTATGCTGCTGTTTATTTCTATTACTTAACATTTTGCAAAATCGTTTACCAAACTAATGTAAATTTTATTAATAGTGCTTACAAAAACCATTGCTTAGTAACGCACATTAACGGAGAAAAAATTAAATGCAGGTAAGTAAACAACAGTGCAAAATGTGACGTGTCGATGTCGATAGAACGGTGTGACGTCATTACCAATGAGAAACCCCTTTACTGTAGGAAAGTTACGAATTTTGATGCTAATTTTGTTGATTTAAATTTTAATATTTCGTACAAAAAAAATATAAATATCACTCTGTATGATTTTTGCATTACATTTAACCTATTTCACAACTTTTATATTGAATTAAAATTGCAATTGCAATTTCCCTATTAGAGAAAAATTGCAGAATTTGATGATAAATAACTTGTCAGAGAGAATTATTTTGTTTGCTTTCGTTATGAAATTATAGACTAAAACTGAGCTAAAAATTTTTTGGATATTCACATTTTTATATTCAGCTCATTTGTCTTAAACGTGTTATTGTTCATTTTTCTGCTTTCGTCGAAATACCAAATTATTCATTTGGCCCCTCTGTGGAAAAAAATTGGGCCGCCCGTGCTAGCGTCCGGTTGAAATGGAAGAACGATCGTCAACAACAAACAAAATGCGCAACATGTGAACTCGTCCTTGTCTATGTAGTACATACAAGTTAAAGTGGAGTAAAAGTTGGCCTTTGGAAGAACATTTTGTAGCTTATATAGGCCCTAAAAGTTGCATTCGCCCTACCTGTAAAATCTTCCGACTTCCGGCCAGTTGTTTTCGAATAGCTTGCGTGACAAACTCTATTGAAAGATGTATTAGTCTTGTGGGAAACACCCAGAAAGATATAATTTTTATTGTTTGAAAAAAGTCAACGGATTGAAATTGAATAGGTGATCTTTACTCTATTATAAAAATAATTCAAATAAATTAAAAAAAAAAATATCAAATGAAGTTAAGCAACGTTCTTTGATACCAAACATCCAGGTGTGCAAAATATATTTTACATTTAACTGTTGATATTGCAGGAAACAACTAGTCTAGTAGGTACATGTTCCAATTAGTATCATTGGATTCTATTTCATGTGTCATTTTTGACTTTTACAAAGATTGCACATTACTACGTACTATTCCATCGTCTTGGAAAATGCCTGCAAAATTTTTACAAAATACTCTCCTTGGGCTGCTCGAGGATTTACCTTTGCAATTAAGATGTCAAATGTGGTTCATGTAGGTTAGTACTTCACCGCATTTTAGTGTTATTGTATGAGACTTCTTGAACCAGCAGTTGCCGAATAAATTGGCCACCAAGATCACCAGATCTGAATAAATGTGATTTCTTTCTCTGGGGGGGGGGGGGAAGGGGGGACTTTAAAAGAGTTTGTTTATTTTACACCGGTTGGATCTGCAGCAGATTTATGGAGTCGTATAAATAACATAGACCAACAAAATTTAACTTTTTTTTTGGAAGCAGAAAATTGAATATATATTTCCGAAGGATTTAGGTGCGCTGAATCCGAATCTGGCAGCAGAATTGCTCTATCAGGTCAGGTTTTTGAAAATCCTGCGGGAATGCATATTAGTGTGTCTGCTTCTTGACCCTTGTTGACCTGAGTAATAAATGCAACGCCATAAAAAACGATCCACAATTATTGCACACAGTAGACTTTAATTTTCGGCAGGGGATAAATTTATGTATTAGAGAAAATGGCGGTCATTTTCAACAGTTCTTGTAGTGCTATTTAACAATATCGGTAGTACATGCGGTTAAAGTTGGATTTGTTAATGTTTTGTTTGTAAGGTTCCTCATTTTTTAATATGTTTAAAAACAAAATAAAGAATCTAATTTAATGAAATCGTTTTTTTCTTGATACTTTTTTATAAACGTCAAAAATGACGCGTGAAATCATTGCCTACTATCGTAAAGCTGCATACTTTTTGTCCGATTCAATTAGTAATGACTGTTTCACAAAATCCCGATTTTCTCAAAAACCGTTATTTTTTCGAAAAATTTGTAAGAGAAAATAAATTAAAATTAAATTTCCTGTAATACTGGTAAAACTATTTAATAATTGGCATATCATTTTAAGGTCGTCCTACTCCTAGTCCAGCCCTTATTGGACTTCAAACAAAGAGTGACCGCAAAAATCGCCCGTTTTTTCACAATTCGCAGAGAAGTAAAGAAAATAGATAAAAATATGTTTTTGATCTCAAATTACTCGTAAAAAATTAAGGTGAGCATAGGTTTTAGTTTTTTGAAAATTTTCAAAAATCACCCCTATTTAGGGGTTGAAAAGACGCCCAAAATGAAGAATTAAATATTACCAATAAATATAAAAACTAATAGCATGTGAATTTTTCTATCGAATGATTCTTAATACAAAGAAAAATTTATTCTCATGACTGAAATAAGCATGTTGAATTAGAAAATCCACCCTTAAGCGCGCTCAGGGGTTGAAGTCATCCACAAAAATAGAGAATATCAGAAATAATTGAAAAAATTCCAAAAAAAAATATAATAAGATAATTCACATGCTAATAGTTTTTATATCAATTGGTAATATTCAAATTCTTGATTTTTGGTATTTTTTCAACCGCTAAGTAGGGGTGATTTTTAAAATTTTCAAAATACCAAAAGCCATGCTCATTTAAGATTTTTGCAAGTAATTTGCGACCAAAAATATTTTTATGTATTTTTTTTTAATTCTCTGCGAATTGTGAAGAAACGGGCGAAAATCACAGGTTTTTTGCGGTCACTCTTTCTATTTTTACCAATTAAAGATAATAATAAACGCAAATTTGGTTGCTCTAAGGCATTGCTGAAATATTATTGTTTTTGGAAATTTAACACTCATCTTCAGAGACCAATATCTCTTCAACGGTACATCTCGGAAAAAAAATTTACATAACAAACCGGCATATTTTAAGATCCTCTACACGTGCCTGTTTTGTGTCGGTAGAGTTATGAAACACCCTGTAGATCCACTTGATATTGTTTAATATAGCTAAACAAACTGTGAAACCAAAAGAAACATTAAATTTAAGTGATCTATCTCGTATAGGATCACTTAAGGGTAGATAGGTTAGCTAAATGGAAAGCCGGCATCACTTTTAACCTCAAAATGTACGTGCTTCTATTGTTGCGTCGCTCAGATTTGTACTGTTTAAGTTGTAACTTACATCAAACTATGTTAAACATACTGCACATGTTGCTTATTTTTCTAATTTGTTTTCTATTATGTCCATATTTCTGTATTTTCCTTTGTTTTTTTTTAAGCAATCTTATCTTATTCGTCGACCTCACGAGTAGCAGAGCTTCATCAAAAATTTTTTTCTATTAACATTTTTTATAGCCGAACAATAGCAACGAATAAACCCATAATTACTGTAAATACCCCCGCCTAATTATACACCGGTAACGCTAATGTGTTTTTTTCAGGTGTCAGACGACGACAACTTGCCACACGTAATTTGCCTAAGATGTACAGAACAGCTAGAGGCGCTAAGTAGATTTAGGGAAGTCGCCAGGAAGACGGAGGATCTGTTGAACCAATTCTTGGTCTACACGAAAGAACTGACGGGGACGGAAGAGGTGAGTTTTTTTTAATTGAGTTGCTTTGCCGGGCAATGATTTAATGAGCTGGGTGCAGGTTAAGCCGTGTCCAGACGCGGATAACGGCCGAAGCCTACTGTCGACACCCCATGCCACGTCATGTGTCGAAAGTGTGCGCGTATATTAAAACCAAAGACAAATATAACAATGTACAATATAGGAAAAAAACACAGGCAAGTTATTATTTATTAAAAAAATGTTAAATATAAACAATGTATAAATTTTAATTAGTACTACTCTCTTGACAAGTTCTTTCTAATTTAATTTCAAATATAATTTGAACATGTCTTCGTATAGCGAGTTGGGTTTAGGCCTTTAAAGTCATGTAGGTAATAACGATTATACACTAATCCAAACAATTAAAGGGTCCAAAGAATTGATTGAATTCTAAAAAATACCGCGACAAAAAAATTTGGCAATTTTTTTTCCTAGTTCACGGACTTGGAAAACATTTTTTCAGCTAGGCCATTTCATGGACCAGATAGCTTGTTTATTCAGCTTTAATTTCCTTTTTTTAAAATTTCGATACGACCATTATTCATCGAAATATCGGACTTTCAATGGAAAAGGATCCTCTTGTCTTCAATCATCGATATCTTGGGGACAAATGGTCGTACAGAGAATTGAAGGTCAGTTTCGAAAACTGGAATAAATTTCCCATAAGATGCTGCCGCAACTTTTCGGAATTTTTTTTCGTCATCTTTTACACGAATTTAAGGAAACAGGAAAAAAGGGTAATTTATGGTTTTTTAGAAAATTTACGGCTAAATTAAAAATATTCACGAAATGACTTTTACAGTTCGATATACCCAGAAAAACCGTGTGAAGTTTCATCTCGATCTAGCGAACCGTTTCTTTGTTTTAAACAGTCAAACTTTTGAAAAAAATTAAAGGGTCATGTTTTTTGAGCTTAAACAGTTCATAATCATAAAATGGGAAAAATTTTTTTTGAGGTTTTCTCACATTTTTACAGCAAATAACTAAAATTGATGTAAAAATAATTATTTTTCGAAAAATTTTCTAAAAATTTTCGAATTTTTTTTTTGACATTGGAGAAAACAAAATCCGTTTGTTTCCAGCACGATTCGGCTTTTCTGACCTATGCTTCTGTTCATCAACTCTTAATTAAATAAAAATTAGTCTGATGACCCAAATCAGAATTTGATCACGATTCATACCGTTTTTTGAGACAAATTTGTAATTAATTTTTGTGCAGTCTGTGATCACTTAAAATCACTTGTTTCCAAAACTACCCTTTTTCTTCTGAAAAAAAATATTCTTACACACTGTATATAAGGTTATACTTAGTTTGAAGTTGCGTGTTTTAGTTTCTTTTCTATTGATTTGACTATTTTGCCACCAATTTAACAGTAAAATTTAAAAATCTATGAAATAAAACCATGAGCTAAAAAATTCAGTCAAAGGTTACTCTTATGCTTATGAAAATAGTTTTATCTAACTGAAAACTTCGCGCTAAAAAAGTAGATAAATAACTAATATACATCACCTTATCAGACACCTCTATATATTTACGTTTCGAAAATCAGTGTTTTCGTTTTTACAACTGAGTCGTTTAATTTTTAATTAGTTTATATTTGTTTGTTTATCTGCCTCCATAACTAGAGACATCACATGATGTTTATTCTGTTACTACGGGGTCTGTTCAGAAAATAATCGAACTGTTTGAATTACGTGTTAAAGGAGATATTTAGTGACATGCGATTGGCAGCATTGCGTTGGGCATACCCTCCTCTGTAACCCACATGTTCTTGGATTGTTGATGTCTCATTTAGTTTTCGTGATATTGTTATTTGAGTGCAATGTGTTAGTGACGATTTTTGAAATGTACGATTATCTGGAATGTAAAGTTTTACGTGAAACGGGGGAAAATTTCACCGAAGCGTTTCAACTTTTTAAACAAGCTTACGGAGGTGGTGCTCTTGGTCATGTTACAAATGGTTGTCACGATTTAAAAGTGATCATACAAACATTTAAGTAGACTTTCCTTTACATCAATATTTTGATTCGACTGAAAATTTGGATATCTGTCGGTGTGAGTTGGTTTCCTATAAACACTTTTTTTTAAACAATTAGAATTTATAGAAAGTGATTATTATTTTATATTTATTTCTAGACTGAATCCCCAAATGCTGAGCTTTTTAATTACATTGTTAACATAAGTTTTCTTAAAAAATCAATTGAAACATTATTACAAACTGCTGGTGATGATGACCCTATTTCCATTTTGAAAATGTGGTTTTTATACCTAAAAGTAATTCCGTTATACACCTACTTGGTTCTATCTGCCAAATTGTTATCATTTTCTAATTTATTTTCGATAATATTCAATATTTTTATCTACTGGTACATTAACGAGTATACTAACCACACGTTAGAACTTTCCATTAAAAGATTAGTATTAAAATGACTTTTAAGTAAGTTCATCCAACAGATGTTTACTATTTTTAATGTATGATCAGAATGTTTAAATAAATATATAACTTCCAATAAATATTTTGCCGATTTATTACAAGGGGAATCAATAGAACTATTATTCTTAATGGAATATAGCGTTTATTAATAATATTGGTAAACCATAATAATGTGGTGGTTTATGATACTGCGAATTAATTTATTTTTTCTTGTCTGAAAATTCTTGTTTGTATTTATATGGTCTATAAATTTCACCTCCATCAGCAAGTGCAATTTCACGCAAATGAAAACCAGTGGCGCAGAAATTTAATTCTTGGGGCTCTTTTATAAGGAATTACTGTTATAGCCACTGTGAGAAATGGAAATAATACTCACATATTTAAAATTTTCAACGCTAAAACGCTTCGTTCCTGAGAAAACGGGTGTCACTTTTTCTACTGCAGTTATCAGTCTTGGTATATTCGTCGGAAATTTGAAAAACCGTTTGGAAGAATAAATGTATTTTTTTTTGGTGATCCCAATACGTCTCTTGCACCATTGGCATTCGTTCGAAAATTCCACAATGTTTGTAAATAAAAAAAAGTAGGCCACGTCTTTTTCTCGTTTGCAGATTTTGTAAAAAATCCGCCATTAATTCTGAATGAAACGGATCTGTTCAATGTTTTTCGGAGGATGCAGCGTTTTTCGGGATAAAAAAACATATTTCCGGGGAAAAAGTCTGGGGAAAAGTTCGGGGAAAAAGTCAGGGTAAAAACTCCGGGTAAAAGTCTGGGGGAAAAGTTGAAATTTATATTATAATTTCAATTCTAATCAATATTCCTTAAGGTGGCCATATCCCTGGCTGAGAACTAGTCAAATTTCTGGCGTTTTTAGGTACTGTTTGCGTTTCTCTCTTAATTTATTTTTTATTTAAATCACCGCGCGTTCCGCGATTTAATTTCATGTTGTCCTTGTCCTCTAACCGAGGGTGGGGAAAAAGACTCGATGAGGGGGAGAAGAGTCTACATTAAATTTTTAAAAGTGTGTGTATGTGAAAGAGCTTTGACCAAGACAGTACGCAACTATACGCAACTGAGATCTCAAATTTGGACTAATGGTACATATAAGTGATACACAAAATTGATGCAAGGGTGCTAGTTCCTGCTGCAAGCGAGTGAGCCAACATAGGGAAACCCTCAAAGGTAAGGGCAACAAAGTCGCCGCAAAACTCTTAGTACATTCTTTTTCAAACATCTTTTCCCTAGCATATTCATTTGGCCTTCGAGCCGTATTAGAAAAGCTCTTAAAATAATACAGTCCACCCACACAAGAATCAAATTGCAAATTTTCGTGAATTTTCAATATATAGAAGCAAATACATTGCATTTGTACAAAACCAAGCCGGCGATTTCAAGGTCAGCGCTCGCCGCACGTGTCCGCGTTGTGTTTATACATTCCACATTTTTTCTTATAGTTCTGTATTGCGACGTTGTCAATAATAACAAATATTTCTACAAAGTTGTGGATTATTCAGTTTCGTGTTAGAATCGTGTTTTTCGTATTTTACAAACATTGTGGAATATTTCGTGTTAGAATCGTGTTTTTCGTGTTACAAACATTGTGGATTATTCAAAAATTCAAATTCGTGTTACAATCGTGTTTTTCGTGTTTTCAAAAACGTTGTGTACAATTCAAATTCGTGTTATAATCGTGTTTTTCGTGTTTTCAAAAACGTTGTGTACTATTCAGATTCGTGTTACAATCGGGTTTTCACAAATATAGGAATACCTATTCAGTTTTTATTACATTCGTGATTTTGTCAACCGCGTCCGATTCTCAAAAATGGCTACTATGCAAGCAATTGAAAATAGACGACACTACGTGTTTACTCGCGTCAAGGATCTACTCAAGTTAGGTCAGACGGCTTGTGTTGATTCAGAAAAAGTTACTGACTTCAAATTTAGATATCAAGGTATGCGTGAACTCGTGACAAAATTTGAAGCTTTGCAGATGGACATGGTGTCGATGGTGGACCCTGAAAACTTGAAAATTCAGGATGAAATTCAACGGGAATTTGACGACGTGCATTACTCAATAGAGGGTATTTATCGTGATCTTTTCCCACCTAGCAATCGCAGCTCTGTTAGTTCAGACAGGGGTTCTGTTGTATCTTTACATTCTGTTCGAAATAATTCAGAATCGTGTTTCAAGGTCAAACTGCCTAAAATCGAGGTACCAAAATTTGACGGGGATATAAACAAGTGGCCGGTCTTTTATGATACGTATAAGAGACTCATTCATGATAATGTTAGTTTGTCTAATATCGAACGTTTTCAGTATTTGATTTCTTATTTATCTGGTGAACCATTAAGCATTGTAAGGAAGTTACCGACTACAAGTGATAATTATGAAATTTCTTATAAATCATTAGTAGATAGATATCAAGACAAACGGGTCTTATTAACGCGTTATTGGCAAGGCATTTTCAATGTAGAATCTTTCAGTGGGAACGCAGCTTCTGCACTAAGAAATCTTTTATCCGTGTTTACAGAAAACTTAGCAGCTAT